TCTGTATGTATTCATTTCCTTTTGAATTCCTGATACTGAGCCTTAAGATGTTGTATACAACATTCAGAACCAATAGATGTAGCACTAGGGCTACAGCATCTCAGACCAAAACAGATGGATGCATCAGCAGCAGCAGCAGCCCCCCATGCCCCCCCACTCTGCTGCCCACTCTGAACCCTCAAACAGACCCAAAGGTCACAGACATGTGAGCAGTGACACTTACATGTCTTTGATGCCCACCCCCGGGCACTCATCTATCACCACGATGCCATGGCGGTCACACATCTGCAAGATCTCCTCAGCGTAGGGGTAGTGGCTGGTGCGGAAGGAGTTGGCCCCCAGCCACTTCATTAAGTTAAAGTCTTTGACGATCAGGGGCCAGTCCAAGCCTTTACCTCGAATCTACATCACAAGGTAAACAGGGGGTTGGATTATTGAACTGGATCCACTTTTTCCACAGAATGTTCTGTCTGTTATCAGACATTAAATGTCCATGTGACGGAGCTAGGGGAAAGACCATCAGCAGGTGTTAACTCTGTTATATTCAAAACTCTTTTGGTAAAGGGTTTGCTTCCCTCTAGTGGTACTCACATCAGAGTCCTCATGTTTATTGACTCCATGGAAATAGAAGGGCTTGTTGTTGATGAGGAATTGGGTGCTGGTAACGTTGACTGTGCGGATGCCAACTGGTAGAGAGTACACATCCTCAAATGTAGATTTCCCGTCGGCTGCCGTTAAGCGAACCTAAATAATAAATATCAGAAGACGTGGTGCATTTTATTAAAAACAGCAGAGCATTGTAACAGGTACGGGACAGAGAGAGAGAAAACTGCTCAGCTTCACAGTGTACATGGCTGAAATCTAGGATTAGTGCAGTGTTTCTCAAACATTTTACATTGTACCACAGATAATATTAGGCTCTCTCCAAATACCACCATAAAAATACGGTAGTGTAGGCCAACCATATTTAGTTACAGACAGTTCACACAGGTTTAGGTTAAGGTTTATTCCAGTAAGATTATTTATTGTTCACTGTCGTTGAAGCCTGAACGAAACCTAAAACAATCTTATTCTCCAGATATAAGAAAACATGGTCTAGACTCCAACAACTGTCGCATCATCACAAATTTAATAGTGTTTGTCAAAGAAAATTAAATTTGTGATGCAAAAATTATGAATTCCACTAATTGTGAATCATTTTGCAATCGCAGTCAAAATAATCCGTCAAAATCAGCCCAAATGCAGGCTGTATGTAGCAGGCTGACACTGATACTAAATATGCAAAACTTACTTTAAATTACATTACAGCAATCTCAAGTAATTTAATTTGGAAATTTGTAGTACTGAATATAGACCTGGCCAAAGACCCCCGGATAATTTGATTTAAGAGAACTTTCAATTACAGTGCAACTATACATACAATATATATATATATATATATATATATATATATATATATATATATATATATATATATATATTTTAACTTCTCCTGACTGACTGAAATCAAGGTGGAAGGTGATCTTCCTAGTGGTAAGCATGCTGTTTGGGAGCATTAAACACTGCTTACCTGGTTCTTTCTTAAGCCAACTGCCTCATTACTCCCACAATCTACTGACAATGCTTATGTGACCCACATCTTAAACATTATACGTTTGTATGCGTATGTAGCCATGTTGTCTTACCTCCATAGAATAAAGATAACCTGGATTCTCATGCATCAAGTACGGCCACCACAGCTTGACATCGACTACTTTGAGCACTCCAGCTGGCCCGTTGGAGGTGGCCACACAGCGGCCATCTTTGTCAATCAAAGTGACACTCAGGGTGGCATTGGCAGCACCTTGGACTGACACATTGTATTTGACTAGACCTGAAACACAGAGGAAGACATCTTTTATCTGACATGTGGTTTTTTACTCTCTTACAAATGCTTTGGAGCTGTTGATGATTGAGAAACTGAGTTTCATTGTGTAATCATTTACCAGTGTTATCCAAGAAGTCAGTCACCACAGTGATGTCGTCCACATAGGCTTTAGGAGTAGTATACAGCAATACAGGACGATGTATGCCAGCATAGTTGAAGAAATCAAAGTAGATGTTTTGCACAAAAAAACCTTCAGGATACCTGTTGAGCAATTACATTTCCTCAGTATCTGAATACTTGCTGACACACAGGCAACTGTACGCATTTTAATCTGGAAAAACAGGAACTGCACTGTGATTGCCAAATCTTATTTATATGGCAGCAAGACTTCAAGTTAAGGCTCCTAAAAGGAGTTGAAGTGTGTGTTGAGGCGTATGTGAAGAAAGCAGCTGAAGTGCAAGCAGAGAAAGGATATATAGTAACTAAAATTAGAAGAAATATCACTTAAGTTAGGCTGGAAGTAGTGAAAGGATCTGAAACGTAATTTAAAAGGCAGTCAGCAGTGAGTGTCATCTCTGTATTGTAAAGAATACAAATAATTGAAGTGTAAGCATTAATACAACTGAACTGCCAATAGAAATACAAGTACTCTAAAGCAGCTGAATTTTCTTACAATTCATCACAATTGGAAGTCATCGTAAAACTGACCAATCAGTTGATTGATCAGTTTAGGAAAAACATCGGGTTTGTACATTCTTCCCATTGATTCCCATTATAAAAAGAATAAAATAAAAAAAGTAAAAAATAACATTTTAAGAACTATTAATGACTTTAAGAAAGTGAAACAGAGCAAATCAGAGTTAATTTCTTCCAGTGAAGCGAGCGCACAACTAAATGAAGCTTTAACTGGATAAACTGGAGGAGGTTACTTGGTGCGGTCGTCCATGTGCTGGATGGTTCCTGGAGGAAGAGTCTCCAGAGTCAGAGTGTTGTTGACTGCGATGGTGATCCTGCACGGCACAGTTGGGTCCTTGCGGATTAAGCTGCCTATCTCGACCTCAAAAGGAAGATGGCCGCCATCGTGCTCTGTCACTTTCACCCCGTTCACCCACTGCAGAAGGTAAACACAGTGACTGCACATGAGCTTGTTCACATTATTACAAGAGGAGGGTATAAAGGGATCCTATCTCACAACTACAATGAGGGATTCTTCCAACTGTGACTGGAGTGGATTGGGAGGGGACAGGTGATACTCACCACTACTGAGTAATAGTGAGCACTTCCCACTCTGAGAACCACTCTTGTTCCTCCATCGGCCACCCAGCGAGCAGGCACCACCACCTCTCGCTCATACCACACCCAGCCAATGAAATCTCTCAGTGCGGGGTCCTGTGTGATGTCATTGTAGCTGGCAGGAACTGGCATGTCAATCACTGGGCCGGTCTATGGAAGATAAACTTCAGTGAAAAGACAATACTTCATTTGTAGCAGTGGGTCTGCTGTAGACAGTAATGAGTTTGTAGTTAACAGTTTGTATGTTCTCCCTCCTATCACAGCACTATCTAAGATGGTGATATCTCCTGTTTCTGTTTGATCTCCTTCAGTGTATGGGCTCACAGTGTGTTAGTTGACATTTAGCTGTACATTTTCTGCAGACTTTAATGGACTTTGTGGTGTTTTGCACCTCCTGAGATATGCTCAGTAGATTTACTATTATGTGTTTCTGATCTATCCATTGGCTGCATGATGTTTAGTCAGAGCTGCTGTCCTTCTCACCTCTGCCAGGCGACTTTTGTACCATGCCCTGTCGAAGCCCTGGTTCCTGTTTGGGGACTGGTCAGCCCTGAAGTCCCACAGCCCGTTCAGCTCCTTCACTTCTCTGGAGGAAGACTCCCGGGGGAAGAGCATGCCGGTGTCCAGCAGACACACTGCGTCAAACACGGCCAACAGGCACACAACACGGAACATCCCCAGCCTCTCAGGAGGGTCCATACCACCACTGAGAGCTCTGTGGAAACCTTACAGCGCGCTGCTTTCTGTTGTTGACTCAGTCACATGATTTATTCTGTAGTCACGTGAAGAAGAACTGTCTTTTCCGTGCTGCCTTCGGGTGCTGTCGGAAATGTCTTCTCCTTCTTCTCTGAGTTTAATGGCGGATCGCAAACAACTTTTAGGTGCACACCGCCACCTACTGTAAAGGAGTGTGTGCCTTCATGTCATTTATCTAGCTCTTTAGATTTATTTGACCTGCTAGCCCAGTGTTATTTCAAAAAGTAAAGAGTGACTTCCTGGCAACTCTTATTTCCTCTCTCTATCCGTCTGTTCCCAGAATTCCCATCACATCCCAGTCCTGTCCAATCTCTTTGATTGGATCCCCTAGTAGTTCTCTATCGGCTTCATACCTGGGACATTGTAATTTGATGTGCTCTCCATTGTTCCCACATTTATCACTGCTCCTTTTCCCCAGTACAAACATAGTGCCATTCAATCCTATATGATCTAACCTGAGTCTTCTTCTGATGATTTCCTCCCTTCTGTTCCTTTCTTCATAATTCTTTGTTGTGATTGACTTTTTGTATTTTGTGATACCTTCCTTTCTGGTCTTCCTCCCACGTGCAGGCACCCAGCAGAACTACATCTACACCACCTCTGTGAAGTCTTAGTAAACTATGATGAATTTAAATCTTCTCTGACAGATGTTGTTGACTGTATGATTTCCATGACGGCTATTGAATCTGTGCATACCACCACACTATCCGGTCTGACCTCTTCAACCCACTGCAAACCAATAATGACTGCCACTGTTTCCGCTGTGTATACTGGTTGGACAGTCTTATGGCTATAGACACTCTGGGATGTACACACCAGTTCCAATGGGTAGCCTATTATTATGTTCGTGATTCCAGTCATATCCAAGCCCTATTACACTAGTTGTGTGCAGTTACTTGAAGAAATGGATAAGGAATGAGGATGAGGAACGATGTTGAGTGAAAATCTTTGAAATCTTTGGCTGGTAATAAGGATCACCATGTTGTGTGATGATTTAATGTCAAAAAGAAAGTCAAAATTATCAATACTGCATTCTCAATTTGCATTTAGGCCCTGAGGTAAACAAAAAAAACACAGCTGCATGTAAAGTGCATGTTTTGTCTTTAATATCTTGATTCATATTCATTAAAAAGTGAAACATTATAAAAATAAAGCACTTTTATGATGAGATTCAGCATTGTAATTCACATTGAACAGAAATGCTTCCAAAACCGTTGTTACATCAATCTGCTACAACACCAGATTACACATTTATCTTACACACAGTACACACAGAGGGAAGGAAAATAGGAGATATTGTGGTAACTCCCTCCTTTTACAGTGTCATTGTGATGTAAGAAAGGTCAGAAATATTAACTGATGAAGGTTTTTGACATTTTTTTGAGAGCAATGGAAAGCACCACCTCTTGTATCTGTATCAGAATATCCTGCTAAATAAATTGTTACACCCCCACTCATTTGTATCCAAAGCAACACATCATAATTCTAATTATTATATCAGTGTGCACCATAGATGAGCCACCAGAGGCTTCAAAAATGTATTTTATGATGTGAAAATGTTGCAGATTGCCCTGATTACACTGGTGGTTTAGTTCATATTGCAGACCAACAGTAACAGCAAAGCTAAATGGTGTTTCATGGTAGTTTGACCTTATTTGTACTCACCAAACTGAAATGTTCTACATGTGCTTTTGTAAACTGCCTCAAGCAAATGACTGAATTTTAACTGCAATTTCCATAAGACATAGTGTTAACATGGGATTGAGCCGGTCCTGGACCGGGTGCCCCAGCTGGCGGGTGTCATAGTGAGCAGGGGTACTTGGTCCAAGGAGGTAGTCTGCCTGTTTCATTGGCCAGTCTCCAGTACCGCTCCCTCAGGATGAATGCAGCTGCTTTAGGCTGCCTTTGCCTGGTGAAAACACCCTTCTTGTTCCCCACCACACGGAGGATCCCTGCAGACACAAGAACAACAAGAACCTCGTCAGACACAGACGCAAACACAGAAGAGCCTTTTGTCAGGCCAATATGTAGATCAGTTAAGGTGTGATGAGTAAGTAAACTCTGCTTCCAAAATGCCAAAAGCAAGAAAGCCAAATCTATAGCTAGACGTATTTAGAAGTGGGGGAAAAAGCAGCTCTGGCACCAGGGTGTTTTGTCAGGGCACCAACTGAATCTCCCATGAAGATTTACCATTTCTAGAGTTCCTGGACATTTTGCTGCCCTTGGCATGTGTACGAGATATTCATTTATGGCTGTCCTGACTGGACTTTAGGATCCAGAGTTTATTTTATTTCTATGTCAGACCAATTTACAGTTCACAGTGTAAAGGTCTGCTTTAAAATTAGTGAAGCAATTTAGATATGGTTTTCAGCTAAATAGCTCTGCATTATGAAAATACAACCTGCTGGTGTAATGTAACATTATATAGTATATAGTATACTCTGCAACAGCCATTGAGAGAGGATGTCAATGTGGATCTCTTTGAAGGAAGGTTTGGACCGTGTCTAGAAAGACTCTCTTCAATCTCAAAATACTGAAGTTGCAGTACCTTGTACAGTCATGAAATCAGCAAAGTTCCAGATGAGTTCACCAATGACGTACTGCTTCCTCTTCTGGTCGAAGACGTTGTGATAGCTCTGCAGAACTACCTTCTGGTACTCCTCAGTAAACATCACAGGTGGATCCTGGAGAGTGAAAAGACCGATTCTTACTACTGGCATTAACATGTTTCTGGGAAAATGTGTTGCAATTAGAATCTTTAAGACAGACTGGGGGGGGGGATTCCTCACAGCCTTAGGATGCAACAAAAAAGTCATATAAATACAACTGACCCTTTTGAAGATGGTTAAAAGATAAAAGTTACATATAGTTACATGTTAAGTTGGCTTCATGTTATCAAAACCAACTAGTGTTAGTCTCTTATCTTTCCAATCCAACTGATAGCTACTAAGCTAGCGTTTTGCTAACATTTGCTAACTTGAGGTGTGACTATATGTAACTTTTATATTTTAACCATCTTCAAGTTTTGGTTGTCTTTTCAACATAGATGAGCCTAGCACATAGCACGTGTACAGGAAAGGAGAAAGTGGGCCGAGGCTTGCACAACTGTAATTGGAGCAAAGAGCTAAAAGGGGCGGGACTTAGGAGGGGCTGATAGCGGGTGCGTTACAGTTGGGTATTTGGATGTGTATGTGTGTGAATCCTCACACTGTGAAGCCCTGGCACTGCATCTGCTCCATATTCGCTCTGGATGATGGGTTTCTGGTACTTTCCATACCAGTTCTCAAACTGAGTGTTGAGCTGGATGGGGATGACCTCTAGGTGGCCTGGATCATGGTACCAGGAGAAGTAACTGTTTACACAGATTACATCCACATAGGGAGCCTAGGGACGAGATTAGAGACAAAATAGGACTTGTAGAGAAACAATTCAGTCTTTTCCAACCTCTGATCTCAGCCAGATACCTTGACAATTTCACTCTTATTCCCTTGGTTCAGGCACTCAATGTAGGTAATTATGGTTGCATTTATCATACTGTGTACATTTGCTTATTTTCTGTATTGAATTTTTTTCTGTAAAAAAGATATTGAATTCTGACGTATTACTGTTATTTAAAAAATACTGAATGCTACTGTAAATCTAGGACATAATGTTTTGTGAGATCATAGTAATGCATTTGCTCAACCAAAAAAGAAAAAAAAAACCTTCTGCTTTCATTGCTTTAAGGCAGTAGTTCCCAACCTTTTTCCTTAAGGGACCCATTTCTATTCAATGCATAACAATAACAGTACAGAACAACCCACCATGAATATTATTCTGCAGGAAGCATTTTGTTCATTATTTCCTGTGAATAATGCATCCTGATAATTACTGAGATATAGGTATACTGTATGTTTCTTTTCTTACACCCCTTACAATCAAGAAGGCCTTGCAACCCTCTGTGAAGCTTTGGCGACCCCTAGTGTACCCCAGGTTGGGTACCACTGCCTTAAGGGTCATTGTAACTGATGATAATAATAATAATAATTGTGTGATACTGTGTACCATAAAACTTTATATTATATTTATTATATAATATTTTCTGATCGTACCATGAAAATGTCATATGATTGCAACCCGACTGCTAATAAAAAAAATAAACATCTCACCCCTTTGTCCCTGGCGTAGTTACTGGCTGTGATGTAAGTGACGGGCCGGGTAGGGTCCAGAGCTTTGGTATGTTGTATCAAGGTCCTGTAAGAAAAACAAAAAGCACCCTTAGGTGATCTCATTGCAAGTTGTTAATGACTACAATGTTATATAATCACTACAATGTCACAAAATGGTTTCAGGTAGCCAGTTCTTGTATATTAAATACATTTCGAAAAAGTTTCAGAACTTCAAGGCAAAGACAATTGGCATATCGGGGGTAGAAAACACAAGTGAATGATCTTGCATCCAGAAGGGTCAGATAAGTCAGTTTATGTAAGAATGAATATTCAGTGGTTCATATCTAAAACTAAATGACCAGTACTCACTTAAAGTAGAATTCAGCAGGGGGCATCTCTGCAGCCGGCTCATTGGCTACTGACCACATGACCACAGAGGGATGGTTCTTGTCCCGACGTACAAGCTCGTCCATTACCACCAGGTGATGGGTCAGGGAGGCTTTTCCAAAACTGCGACTACAGTGCCAAGGCACAAAGAAAGCAGATCCACCATTCACTTCAGGTTACCCATTCTCCAACCATTCAAGAACACGGACAACTGTTCTGCTCATCAGTAAGAGATTAAAGAACAAGTGGTCCTCTGCTGCAGTGTCTTTCATTAAATTATTATACAAGAGAATTTCTGTATGTATTTATTTCCTTTTGAATTCCTGATACTGAGCCTTAAGATGTTGTATACAACATTCAGAACCAATAAATGTAGCACTAGGGCTACAGCATCTCAGACCAAAACAGATGGATGCATCAGCAGCACCTCCCCCCCATGCCCCCCCACTCCGCTGCCCACTCTGAACCCTCAAACAGACCCAAAGGTCACAGACATGTGAGCAGTGACACTTACATATCTTTGATGCCCACCCCCGGGCACTCATCTATCACCACAATGCCATGGCGGTCACACATCTGCAAGATCTCCTCAGCGTAGGGGTAGTGGCTGGTGCGGAAGGAGTTGGCCCCCAGCCACTTCATTAAGTTAAAGTCTTTGACGATCAGGGGCCAGTCCAAGCCTTTACCTCGAATCTACATCAAAAGGTAAACAGGGGGTTGGATTATTGAACTGGATCCACTTTTTCCACAGAATTTTCTGTCTGTTATCAGCTAGGGGAAAGACCATCAGCAGGTGTTAACTCTGTTATATCCAAAACTCTTTTGGTAAAGGGTTTGCTTCCCTCTAGTGGTACTCACATCAGAGTCCTCATGTTTATTGACTCCATGGAAATAGAAGGGCTTGTTGTTGATGAGGAATTGGGTGCTGGTAACGCTGACTGTGCGGATGCCAACTGGTAGAGAGTACACATCCTCAAATGTAGATTTCCCGTCGGCTGCCGTTAAGCGAACCTAAATAATAAATATCAGAAGACGTGGTGCATTTTATTAAAAACAGCAGAGCATTGTAACAGGTACGGGACAGAGAGAGAGAAAGACCAGCTGCTCTTTTTAAGAAACTAATTTGTTGAAAAAGGGGTACTCCTGGTCCACACTTTATGATTTGAGTGTTTCTGAATAATTCATTTTACCTCTGCTTACTATCTTGCCATCCTATTTCAGTTTGTAACTAATCAAAGATGTATGCAGGCTGTATGTATCAGGCTGATAGGGAAACAAAACATACTTTAGATTATTTAATAATTAGTTCAAGTATTTTCATTCAAACATTTGTAGTATGCCTTGATGACAGCATCCTAGCCAAAGTGAAACCACAGTGAAACTATGGTGGTAGAATTTGGTAATTTGGTACCTACCTAGGAACCTTACTGTATTATTATTATTATAATAAATATTAACTTCTCTATGGAGCCATCATTACTATAATAGCAACTATTTACAAATTTGTGTGGAGAGTTGTGTAAATCTATCTCAACCCGTGTGTGCGTAATCAGATTTGTAAATGTGTAAGAAAATCTACAAATCTGTATTCAGATTTGTAAATGTGTAGACAAATCTGTAAATGTGTCTTTCAATTAGCACTTTTTACACATGACTTTTGCTACACTGCAGACATCGGCAAATGCGTGTTTCAATCTGTGTGTGTGAGGAGAGATGAATTTACTGTTTATCAGACCACAAATGAGTCATGGATTAGGTTGGAAAAACGTTTTTGAGGGCCGGGTCTCACAGATTACTGTAAGAAACACAACTTTAACTTCATTGACTGATTTTGGTGAACGTGGATCATATTTCATGGAGAATAAATTATCTGGTCATCTTAAACATTATACGTTTGAATGCGTATGTAGCCATGTTGTCTTACCTCCATAGAATAAAGATAACCTGGATTCTCATGCATCAAGTACGGCCACCACAGCTTGACATCGACTACTTTGAGCACTCCAGCTGGCCCGTTGGAGGTGGCCACACAGCGGCCATCTTTGTCTATCAAAGTGACACTCAGGGTGGCATTGGCAGCACCTTGGACTGACACATTGTATTTGACTAGACCTGAAACACAGAGGAAGACATCTTTTATCTGACATGTGGTTTTTTACTCTCTTACAAATGCTTTGGAGCTGTTGATGATTGAGAAACTTAGTTTCATTGTGTAATCATTTACCAGTGTTATCCAAGAAGTCAGTCACCACAGTGATGTCGTCCACATAGGCTTTAGGAGTAGTATACAGCAATACAGGACGATGTATGCCAGCATAGTTGAAGAAATCAAAGTTGAAGTTTTGCACAAAAAAACCTTCAGGATACCTGTTGAGCAATTACATTTCCTCAGTATCTGAATACTTGCTGACACACAGGCAACAATCAATCAATTACAATTCAATTTACAAAGTAAGACAAAAAAATAACATTTTAAGAACTATTAATGATTTCAAGAAAGTGAAACAGAGCAAATCAGAGTTAATTTCTTCCAGTGAAGCGAGCGCACAACTAAATGAAGCTTTAACTGGATAAACTGGAGGAGGTTACTTGGTGCGGTCGTCCATGTGCTGGATGGTTCCTGGAGGAAGAGTCTCCAGAGTCAGAGTGTTGTTGACTGCGATGGTGATCCTGCACGGCACAGTTGGGTCCTTGCGGATTAAGCTGCCTATCTCAACCTCAAAAGGAAGATGGCCGCCATCGTGCTCTGTCACTTTCACCCCGTTCACCCACTGCAGAAGGTAAACACAGTGACTGCACATGAGCTTGTTCACATTATTACAAGAGGAGGGTATAAAGGGATCCTATCTCACAACTACAATGAGGGATTCTTCCAACTGTGACTGGAGTGGATTGGGAGGGGACAGGTGATACTCACCACTACTGAATAATAGTGAGCACTTCCCACTCTGAGAACCACTCTTGTTCCTCCATCGGCCACCCAGCGAGCAGGCACCACCACCTCTCGCTCATACCACACCCAGCCAATGAAATCTCTCAGTGCGGGGTCCTGTGTGATGTCATTGTAGCTGGCAGGAACTGGCATGTCAATCACTGGGCCGGTCTATGGAAGATAAACTTCAGTGAAAAGACAATACTTCATTTGTAGCAGTGGGTCTGCTGTAGACAGTAATGAGTTTGTAGTTAACAGTTTGTATGTTCTCCCTCCTATCACAGCACTATCTAAGATGGTGATATCTCCTGTTTCTGTTTGATCTCCTTCAGTGTATGGGCTCACAGTGTGTTAGTTGACACTTAGCTGTACATTTTCTGCAGACTTTAATGGACTTTGTGGTGTTTTGCACCTCCTGAGATATGCTCAGTAGATTTACTATTATGTGTTTCTGATCTATCCATTGGCTGCATGATGTTTAGTCAGAGCTGCTGTCCTTCTCACCTCTGCCAGGCGACTTTTGTACCATGCCCTGTCGAAGCCCTGGTTCCTGTTTGGGGACTGGTCAGCCCTGAAGTCCCACAGCCCGTTCAGCTCCTTCACTTCTCTGGAGGAAGACTCCCGGGGGAAGAGCATGCCGGTGTCCAGCAGACACACTGCGTCAAACACGGCCAACAGGCACACAACACGGAACATCCCCAGCCTCTCAGGAGGGTCCATACCACCACTGAGAGCTCTGTGGAAACCTTACAGCGCTGCTTTCTGTTGTTCAGGCTGTCACATCAGTCATTCTCTAGTCACGTGACAGCAGAACTGCCTTTCCCGTGCTGCCTTCGGGTGCTGTCGGAAATTTCTTAATTACGATATTAGGTAATGCAACATAATTTTAAGCAATACACCGCCCTAAAAATAAATAAATAGACATTTTATAATGACATTCGTTCGCCTGACCCAATCGTGTTTGTATTATGAGATAATAGTTTGGCATTTATTATATTAATTAGTATTGTTAATGTTTTTGGAAGTTGTGTTTCACCGGAAGCATCTTAAGGTGACTCTTCAGGTAGGTAGCGACGTGCCTTGTTTCCCCACCAAATTAAAAGCCGCCATGTGTCCTGGCCCAGCTGGAAAACGTCCAGATCGTCAAAATAAAAGACCCAAACAGGATAAATAGTCCATAATACGGGGAAACTAATCATTTATTATACATTGACAATATTCTCTCGCCGCCGGGGTTTAAGTCACCATTCACTAATGCAACACCGAATAAAGGACACAAGATGGCGCCAGACACTCGCACATCAAAGTCAGCGACAGAGCCGACAGAAGCATCAGTTCAGTGTATGAAAGTGTCCTATAGTGCCTCCACATTCCCAAAAACCTGCTTTCAGCTCATGGACGGGTGAACCTGCTAGGGGCCCCTGGGGTAAAAAAAAATAGCTTTGGGCTCCCTTTGACTCCCTCTTTGTGGATATGCGCCATGTACATATTGACAAGTACAAAAGATAAGTAATAACACAGGCCCTTATCCTCTGAGTTGATGCTGTGTTTTGAGGTGTGTATTTCTAAAAATAATTGCACTTAATTGAGCTGGGAGGATTTTTTGGCATATTAGGAGTCGATGCTGTTGATGTTTTGCGTCCACACCAGGCTCAGTTTTGTATCCATTGCAGTTTGTACAGTAAAATCACAAATGGTTTGGATGCACTGGTGGCCGCAGGGTTTAAGGGGGACTGAAACATTCCAATTGTACATAAAGTTCTGTTAAACTCAGCTGAAGTGGATAAACTGGAGTAATATGGATGTACATACAGTAACTCTTCAATCATCAGCTTTTCAACTGAATGTGTTGAGCTGAAGTTTAACCCTCTCACTGAATGGATTGACCAGTTTTGGTTTGCAATGAGACATTGGCTTATTCCTTATCCAGGTATGTTTTTCCATCCCTGAATGCCACTAATTGATGCTTTCTTTTCTCACATAACTTCTCCACCCCAGAGGGAGTGACTCCACAGTACTTTCTCTGTATTTTTTCTTTTTACTTCTGATTTATCTGCCATTTTCTTTAACCCCATGACCCCATGGTCCCACCCGCCAGAAAGTTTTTTTCTGATTCATTCTCATTTAATCAAAATGTTTCTCATTGACCAAGTAATATACCATAGTTGGAACACCCTATTCCCAAGACATATCAAATCAACTACATTTTTCTTTTTTGTTAAAGTTATGCTGGCACAAAACGAGTCGGATTGACTGTGCAGCTAAAGTACAAACAAGGCAGGTTTGTAATAAAGTGCTTCACAGAGTGACAGACTCATCCAAACAATCCATAACACTGCCATCTGCCTAAAATTAATGTAAGGTTAATGGTGAGTTCAGTGTTAATTTCCTGTCTGAAGTCTGTCCCAGGTCATTTTCCCACCAATTCGTTTGGGATGTTTGAAAATAAAAGTACTTTAAATCTATTTTTGAAGCTATTCCTTTGGTTCCCACCCCATGTCAGCCATGTGGTGTTCAACATACCTACCCTTCGATTACAAATTCCTGTGGCAAAAATAACATTTGAATTTGAAAAGGCGCTTTAGCCGAGCGTATTACCACAGTCTGGTACGATTGTTGTCCTTTGCTGTAAAAAGTAAAAGAAAAATCTTTAATGATGCATTTGTAGCCACCCCAACTTGCAGTTTTCATGTAGCAAATCATGTGCATTTCCAACTGCGATTGATTTAATCCAGGTCAGACTAGACCAACATATATATTTTGAGGCATCCATGCATATTTTTATGAAGCACTAATGACACAAGTTAGTTCTAACATGCTCCACAGAGCGACAAATGACTTGATCCTCAGTAGCCATCCACAATCTGTTCAGATCACCCCTGTTGTTCCACAAGGCTTTACAGGAAGCTAATCTCCTCTACCTACAGACTCCTGCTCTCACCTTGCAGCTAGTGCACGTATGACATTTTTCCACACTGCTTTGACTCCTTCCCAAAAGTTGACATATCTCCACCGACTGTCACAACTTCAAATTTTTGTTGCAGGAGTGAAAACACATCTCTATGACTTCAAACCAAACTCACAGACCTTTAAGAAAAGGAAAAATAAAGTGTTGTATAAGATTTAGTATCATGTTTTTCTTTGCAAGCATCTCTGTGACAAATCCATACAGCTAAAAAAGCACTCACGATGCTCAGAGGATCTGTGGTTTACAAAAGAAGTCACAACCTTGACCAAGACAAAAAGCTGGCACAGGTCTGGGCCATATCAGACCACAATGAGGCAAGGAGGGCTTAGCTTTTGTCAGACATGTCAATCCATCAGGCCGCTTTGTTGTCTATAAGTCCTACAGTTTTTTTCCCTTGCATTTGTGTTTTACTTGGCAGCTTGTGCTAAGCTAAATTGCACCAATTAAACAGGAATTACAACAGGATCATAAAAAAGGGGGCATCTAGGTGTTGATACCCTATTTAAAATGTGTTAACTAGCTGTGAATCAAATATACAACCAGCTCCAGAAGTCCTGATGACAAAGAGAAAACACTACAGATCAAAGAGAAGCCCTTCAGCTGTCATCATACACTAGTTATTTTCATAGTCGACCTGCTGTTAAACTTGTTCCTGCATTTTTTTTATGAATACATTTGTTGGTCGGCAAAAAATAAAAAGCAGTCTACAGTAAAAACAGTTTTAAAGGGCGCTCATGCATGCATTATTAATAAGTAAGCAAGGGGGAGCGAGAAAGCGAGAATAAAGGGGGGCACAAGTTCCCAAAGCCAGAATTTTTGCTGATTTTACAGCCCTGCTGTGTTACCACCACTTCAGTGACAGAAAACGGGTAGTAACATCCTGAGTTCTGACCTGCTCGGACCTGTCAGTAAAATAAGTTACCCTCGACCAAAGGCACGAGTTAAAATCTACAACATACAGATATGGAAAAAAACTGCAGAGACAAAACAAGGTTATTGGCTGGTTTACAGCGTACAGGGAACATCACAAATCAGCACTGTACATTCTGTGTCTATACTATGATGATATATTAAAATCCTTATCTCAGTCTGTATTTTGTCCAGCTATAGTTAAAAATCTCACATGTAATATCCTCTGATAACATCCACAAGTTGATTAGCTATCAGGTCAGTTTCTTTATTGGTTTCAGTTTTGTGAATGAACTGTAACAGAAATTACAGCACTGTGGCTTTACAGCCATAGGGTCCTGGGTTTGATTCCCGGCTTTGTCCTTTCTGTGTCTGCGTGGGTTTTCTCCAGGTGCTCCGGTTTCCCTCACCATCAAAACATGCATGTTAGGTTAATTCTCTAGTCAGTGCCCATGACTAAAGGCACTGGCTCATATCTGGAATTGGTCCCCCAGGTACTGTACAGTAGGTGCCCTTATAGTACTTACGATGGGTTGAATACAGAGAAATAGATTAAAATAAATTGCCCAGTCCTCTGGGAAAAGTCTAACACATTATCGACTGTGTGGGCCACTCAAAAGGTTTAGAATGGTTTAGCCATTTGTTGTTGTCCTTTCATTTAACACATGTCTTATAATAGTAATCCAAAGTTATTAACAGAAACAGATTGCTGCTAATGAACTGGTTCCAGTGTAGTGCGGATGTATATGTGTGTTTCCTATAGTACCCTGTGCATCCTGTCTCTTTTCATTGTCAAGAGTGTCCACTCTGCTTGGATAAACATTTACTGCCGGGGGGCACATCTGATAAGCTCCAAGAATTGTTTGGCTTTGCTCCTGAGTTCTTCGGGCCATAATCCCAGCCAACATCACTGTGTAAGTGTTACAGTGTTACTCTCAATTAACTGATAGACAGGATCAGTAATTTGTGGGTATTTTATGTGAGATTTCAGGAAATAAGACATGCCATTTTGCCTTTATGTCTTACTCACCAATGTCAGAGCAGAAGGAAGGAGAGCTTTCTTTGGCCGTCTGCTAGAACTACTAGTTGTGCCCAGTGAACATGTGTTGCAAGGTGAGGCCGGTCATGGAGACAGCTTGCTGTGCGTTTTCTTCCTCCACATCCTCTGTCCAGGTTGGAAAGTCTTTACTTCAACACAGACATGGTGTGTTGCAACACCTGAAATATTTCTAGGTCCAATGTCTAATGTAATAAAAAGCCTAAAAAAAGCCAAATGAGAGTATAAAGTTCTCATCATTTAGTAAAATACTGAACATATTAATGCCATAACTCTTTCGCAGACAATCTACTGTGGAATTGCATCTAATATTAGTCATAAATAGATTATGAAGTGAGTTGAACATTATGAATGGGTTTGTAAATGTGTTGCTAAAGAGGTTAAGATGCAGGAAGCAGGTGGAATTTAGTCAGGCGTGATAGGTCCGATATGTGACCTCCCAGCAGCTAAAACGCAATGATTTTGTGAGAGTCTGTAAAAGAGATGTAGCTGTTCTCAAAATGTGCAGCTTATTATGTTCATAGTGTCTAGGCATGTCTTTCATTGTGTATTTTTTTAAAATCCATTTTGAAAAATGACACCATTGCACCATTGTCTCCCTCCAGAGATCTGAGTGTTGGACAAAGGGAGGAAGCCCAAATAAGGGTGTAGCTGCACTGAGGGTCTTGGGAGGCTCAGTCAGATAGCAGTAGTGGCAGATTGGCTGTGTGGGCGCATGCATGACAGAGTAGGAAGTCATCCCTTAATTCCCGCTGTGCCTCCCTCTGTGCCAAGGTTTCACACTGCCAAAGCACCGGCGGTGATCAGGAGCCTGCAGAACCACCACCACCACCACCACCTCAGCAGAGATCTGCTCTCTCCTCCACATTTTATTAACA